TTTGAAAGTGTTTAAAGTATTTCAGTTTGTGAGTATTCAAGTCTATTATTTCAGTTACATAAATGCAGATTTCCCCAGTTTTATATATATAAGACATATATCTTATATATATCACACACACACACACACACACACACACACACACACACACACACATTCTCCTCTGAGTTTTACTTTTCCTCTACTCTGCTTACAGAAACGGAAAGTGAAAATGAATTTCGCCCCTTGGATGAAAGAATAGATGAATTCCACCCCAAAGCAACAAGAACTCTCTTTATTGGCAACCTTGAAAAAACCACTACTTACCATGACCTTCGCAACATCTTCCAGCGCTTTGGAGAAATCGTGGTATGTTGCTTTGTTGATTAAAAACAATATTGAGCCAGATATGGTGGCACATGCCTGTAATCCCAGGACACGGGAGGCTGAGGCAGGAGTATTGCCATGTGATCAAGGCCTCTGTCAGCTACCTGGTGAGTTCAAGGCCAGCCTGGACTATATAGCAAGAACCTATCTCAAACCTCCCCCCAAAAAACCAATATTAGATCTTTGTCATAATGCATAATACAGATGATGGTTTGGCATGATATTTAATGGTATAATAAATATATTTTCTCATTTGCTCTGTGCATTTTTAACTTCTGTTAAAAGATGACACAAGGTGTATAGCTAGGCGTGGTGGCTCACACCTATAATCCAAGCACTCAGGAGGCTAAGCCAGGAGGAGGATCGTTGTGAGTTCCAGGCTGGCTTTAAATTCACTGTGTAACCCAAACTGGCCATGAATTGGAGGTTATCTGTGTTGCCTCACCCTCCTCAGTGCTGGGATCATAAACATGTGCTTCCATGCACAGCTGATTGGATTCTGTTGTACCATCTGTAGTCGTGTGAATTGAAAGAAAAATCTGGAAGAGAAAACGTTTGTAAAGAGGAGCAGCAAGTTAGTGTGTGGTTATTAGGTGATCACATCAGGTATCTTGGGAATTATAGAATGTGGATGTCATGTGTTGGAAGTTTAATTCTATTTTAGTTTTAATTAAAATTAGCAAGCCATAGTGGTGCATACCTTAGCCCCAGCACTATAGAGGCTGAGACAGGAGAACCATCTAGAGTTTGAGGCCAGCCTGGGCTGTATAGTGAAGCCGAATAGATAGATAGATAGATAGATAGATAGATAGATAGATAGATAGATAGATAGAAATTTTAATTAAAGTCACTTTATATTATATAAGTCATTCTTAGGAATACAAGTATTTTTCTATTTCCTGTGACTTAAAGCTTGAATCAATTCATAGTAAAAGTTGTTTGGCCATCGCTTTAAGCAGTTGGGATATACTGTTTCATTCTTTTTGAAAAAATAAGGAAATTACTTCTGTTTTTGAAAGTCTCTTCACTATTAAGAGTGAAGAAACTGTTGTAGTATATTTGGGCTCTAGAGAGTAAAAGTGTTTTTGGTAAGAATAGCTGTGGTTAATCTTTCAGGGATGTGTGTATACCCATACATCTTTCTTTTCTCCTATCCTGTCTTTCTTTTCTCTTAATACTTTGTGTGGAGCTGTTATTAGGTATTGAAATGAGGCCTGCCTGTGAGCTACATTCTCAGCCCCTTTTTGTATATATGTTTATTTGGGGACAAAGTCTTGTTACCTCCCTCAGTTGCTGAGACTGGGCTTAAATTTGGAATTCACCTTCCCATAGCCTCCTGTATTGCTGGGATTAAGGTGTATACTTTGTTACCTGACTGCATATGTTGTTGCTTTAAGCAAAAGATCCTTGTTTTGATTTGATTTGTTTTGTTTTGAATGACATAATCTAGTCTTGTGAATAAAATGTTACCAGTGTCTGATCTAAACTTCCTAAGAATTGGGAGCAAGAGATATATTTGGTAGAAAAGGAAAAACAGAAAAGCTGTATTGAGACATTATAATACTCATCTTTTCCTGATTTTTTATTTTTCATATCCTTTTGGTTTTATGAAAGTGGTTCATATTGATTCAAACTGTACTGTCTACCTAGGTGGGTGACATGGAGCTCACTTCCCTATCTGGACTCTGGTTTCTGTCTTTAGACTTTTATATGCATATTATTTAATTTGTTGTTTGGCATTCATAAGTATAAATTGATAAAGCTTTCAAACATACTTTTATGATGCTACTTAATTTTGGAGCACTATACAAGGGTATAGTTAGGTCAGGCGTGGTGGTGCACTCCTGTAATCCCAGCACTCGAGAGGCTGAGGCAAGGAGGATCGTTGAAAGATTGAGACCGGCCTGGGCTACAAAGTGAGCCCAAGCCCAGCCTGAACCACATAGCGAGATCTGTCTCAAAAGGACCAAAAAAAATACATATATATAGTTGGGCACACAGATACAGTTATCAGTATTGCTGAAAAAGGGATGATTATTGTGTTAATAGGGTGACCATGTTTATATTGTTTTTGAAAGCCATGATCTTAGGCTAGCAATCACCGTCAACTGCTTTTATTCCCTCCCTTGCTTCTTGCCCTCACCCTCTTCCTCCCCCCTTCCCCTCCCCCTTCTCTTTTATTCATTCAAGATAGTCTTGCTGTTTTTGCCCTGGCTTAAATTTTTAAGTGACCCTCCTTCCAGTCTCTGGAGCACTGTGACTACCAGTGTGTTCCCCTGTGCCTAGCATTGAGTATTACCATTTTAAATGGCACACAGTCTTTTTTAATTTTGAGAGTCACTAGGTTACCCAAGCTGGGCTCGAGTTTACATTCCTTCTCTCTCAACCTTCCAGATTGCTGGGATTACAGGCATGCACCTCCAAACTAGGTTTATCCTGATTTTGGGGGGAGGGGTACAATTCAGATTACTTTGAGTTTTTTATTCTATGTAACAGTTAAAATTAGCTCCTCATTTGATCTCTGGTACTGAAAATAAGTAAATACATACATACGCAAGCAAGCAAGCTCCTTAGGGCTGGGATTTAGCTCAGCAGTTTAAGGGCTTGCTTGGCAAGCGTGAGGTCATGAGTTTGATGTCCCATACCAAAATAAATAAATAAATAAATATCTCCTCTTTTGCATTGTTTTGAAGAATATTTAGTATAGATCATTGCTTTTTAACGATCCATTGAGTAATTCTTCAGTACATTACTCATTTTGCTGTTTTTAAGTGTTGATTATTGGCTTTTGCATTACTGCTGTTTTTAAGTCTCAGTTAAGCTCCCTTAAGGAGGCTTACATATTTACAGTCCTTACTCTGCAATTCATGACACAGCTCATTGTTGTTTTAAGTGTTGGTTTCTCTGGACCACTTCCATGTCTGCACCCAGTATTTTCACCTCTTCCTTCCAGCAGACAGGATGAGTATCAGATACCACTACAGGGTTTGTGTGTTTCAAGGAGAGAGAGTGTTCTTTGTAGAGCATGTCTTTAATGTAGGGACAGTCTTTCTTCACAAAGTAGTTCAGGTATTTATACATCCATTCATTCTGGTTGGGGGGACTGTTGACTATATTCTTAGCATCAACCACTGGCCTTGGCTCAGTTGGATATACTGATATCTGGGTACGTGTGCTTGTATGTCTGTCTTCTGACTGAGGACTTCAAACCATTTTTATCATATTTAGGGTATTAGATGATGCCAGAAGGAATTGTAAGAATGTCGCAACTTAGACTACTCTTTCATTATCATAACTTCTTTTAACACTGATATTGTGCATTTTAAATTTTGAGTTGCAGTACAGTTGCTGTCTGTGACCATAAATGCTATGATAGGTAGTTTTTAACTACTGATTTACAGTGATTATAATGTACAGTTTTAATTAAGAGAAGATTGGGATTTTTTTTTAAAGAAATAAACACCTGGGGCTGGGGATTTAGCTCAGCGGCATAAGCACCTGGCAGTCGTGAGTTCGATCCCCGGTACCGATAAAAAGCAAAAAGACAAAAAGAAAAAGAAATAAACACCCTACATGGAGTTGCTTAATTCCATTTTATTTTCATGTTGGCGTATTACTAAATGGTAGTTTTGGCTTTTTCAGGACATTGATATTAAGAAAGTAAATGGAGTTCCTCAGTATGCATTCTTGCAATACTGTGATATTGCCAGTGTTTGTAAAGCTATTAAGAAGATGGATGGGGAGTACCTTGGAAATAATCGTCTCAAGGTAAATGAATTTTCACAGAATGTTGTATTGTGATGATTTGTTTAAGGTCTGGAGTTTTTGTGCCTATTTGTGATTATTTAAGATTGCAGGACAGTTAGACAACCATAAAGGAGATACACTTTTCTTTGTATCCACTTCCTATCTTAATGTAATTTGAACTATACCTAGTTAGCCATATAGGATTGCCTTCTTTTTTTTTTTTTTGGTATGGGGAATCAAACTCAAGACCTCGTGCTTGCCAGGCAGATGCTGTGCTGAGCTAAATCCCTGGCCCCAGTATTGCTTTTCTTGAAAATTTTTATTTAATTTTAACCACACAATTTCCACTTAATATGTTGATTTACGGGGCTAGGGGTAACTCACTGGTAGGGTTCCATCAAAAAAAAAAAAAAAAAAGGTAAGAGTACTTTTCTAAGGATTTTTTAGTTGAGTAGTGATTGTGAACTTTACTAATTAGAAATTTCACCTTTTATATTCAGTTGGGTTTTGGAAAGAGCATGCCTACAAACTGCGTATGGTTGGATGGGCTCTCTTCAAATGTGTCGGACCAATATTTAACACGACATTTCTGCCGGTATGGGCCTGTGATAAAGGTAGGTTGGGGCTTTGGGCATGGTTCAAACTTGCTTCTGACTTTTTTTCTTGCTGTTTAGTTAATTTCTAGTACTGCCTTTTCCTTTTCTTTTCTTTCCTTTCTTTAATAAGTTGCACATTAATTTTTTTGTTTGTTTTGCTAAAATTTGGTCTATAAGGACATTGTATCTGTTAGTTTATGGTAAGAATATTTTGAAAAAGTAGCATTTGAGCAAGCTGAGTGTCTTAGTTACTTTTAACTCGTCGCTGAGACAAAATACCTCATGCCCAAATTGGGGAAGGAAAGGTTTATTTCTCACAGTTTTTGGAAGTTTCAATCCATACTCAGTTGCCTCCAAGGCAGGGTGACATGGCAGGGCTGCAGTTCATGGTGGCTGCAAACGACAAGGCAGAAACTGGCAAGAGAGAGACACACACACACCTCTATCTGGGTGTAGCTCTGACATCATCAATCTAAGTGCTAGAGAATGAACAATCACAGATGCATAATGCAAACACATGAGGCCTAGGGGCCACCTACATAAACCATGACACTTGAGATTTTTTTTAAAATTTGAAATTTCTCTACAATTAAATAAAATAAAATAATTCTGGGTGTGGTGGCACACATCTGTAATCCAGTACATGGAAGGCTGAAGCAGGAAGAACTTGGTGAATTTAAAGCCTGCTTGGGCTACATTGTGAGTTCAAGGCTGGTTTGAACTACACAGGGTCACCCTGTCTCAAAAAACAAAACAAAGTGGTCTGGGGATTTAGCTCAGCGGCCTAAGTGCCTGCCTTGCAAGCAGGCAGTCATGAGTGTGATCCCTGGTACCGATAAAACAAACAAACAAACAAAGCGGGCATGGTGGTGCATGCTTGTAATCCTAGCATTTGGGAGGCAGAGGCAAGAAGATCACTGAGTTAGATGCCAGCCTAGGCTATATTGTCAGTGGGACCCTAGCACATTACACAAAAAACAACAAAACAAAGCAATATTTCTTAGAGATCTTTGTAATTCTATCTCACATTAAAATTTGTACACTAAGGCAGGAAGATTACGGGATTGAGGCTGCTAGCCTGGGTCACCTAATGAGACTTTGTCTTGAAAAGGGAGAGGGCAGGCATGGAAGCTCATGCCTGTAATCCCAGCGCTCGGGAGGCTGAGGCAGGAGGATCCTTGCGAGTTTGAGACCAGCCTGGGCTACAAAGTGAGCTCAAGGCCTGCCAGAACTATGGCGAGACCCTGTCTCAAAAAGAGTAAATAAATAAGGAGGGAGGATTTAGCTCAGCGGTTCAAGTGCTTGCTTGATAAGCACAAGGTTATGAGTTCAACCCCTGGTACCCCCCAAAAAAATAAAAATAAAATTCTAATTAATCTCTTTTACACTAGAAATGTAGTTTGACTTGTATTTTGGGTTTTTTCTTTTTCATCTTTTTGTGACAGGGTCTTGCCTTGCTATGCAGTTTAGGCCGTGAGCTCACTGGGTAGCCCAGGCTCCTCTTGAATTTGCAACAATCTTTCTGCCTCAGTCTCCCTGAGTACTGAAATTACAGGCCTGTGCCACCACACCCAGCTTTTTGTTCTTGTTTTTGGTACTTGGAATCGAACTCAGGCAGACAGGTGCAGTTAAGTTCACATAGCAGAATATTCATTTAATCAGTGTTTGTTATATAACACACAATCAAGGGAACAGGAGCTCTGGATATAATTCCATTGTGTGACGGTAAAGCTTTAATTCTTTCTTTTAAATTTTATTTTTAATTATTTATTCTTTTGTGGGGGGGTGGCAGGAATTGAACTCAAGACCTGCTTGTCTAGCAGGCACTGTGCCACTGAACTATATCACTGGCTTAAATTTTATTTTAAAGAGAATAAAACCAAAATAAAACAGAAAAAACCCAATCAAAACAAAACAGTGGAAGTGATATAGTACTTCAAAACAGGATAATAGGAAATCAACAATGGCTGCCATAATGCCTCTTGTCTTTCAAAATTGCTGCCCATACCATCAGACACAATAAAATCAAAATGGAACACTGAAGAAAACAAACAATAAGGGCTGGGGATTTAGCTCAGTGGCATAAGCACCTGCCTTGCAAGCCTGCGGTCGTGAGTTTGATTCCCGGTACCAATAAAAAAAAAAAAAAAGAAAGAAAACCAAACAATAAAAGAGAACACAGCATTGAAAACAATATTGGATTTCAAAGACAAAACAGAAATTCCCCGTATTTACTATATTTCATATTTTTATCCTCTCAAAAGATGCTGTCACCAGCTCTACAAAATCAGTCAGACAATATAAGCATTAAGCTGTTCTTGTACTTTAGTTGCTATCAACTCAGTCTGGGTACCTCTGACAGGTCAGCTGGTGGTTTGGGAAGGCAGGGTTCTTGTCTCCTAGCCTAAATACAGTTGGCTTCTTGTTTTCTCCTCCTGGGACCTGCATGGCTTCCATCAGCTCAAGAAAAGGGAGAATTGGCTTTGTTGCAAAAACATTTCTGGTTTCCAGGGTTTCTATACCCTCCCAGGGGGTCTCTGACCCCTGCAGGTCACTGGAGATCAGGGCTACAAAGCAGCAACCTAGACCTCCTAGCACACAGGACACCTGAGCTTTAAGCTAAAGGCCCATATGCTCTGTATAACTTTTGACATTAGCTTCATTTTAACTTTTGTTGTTTGGGGATGTGCTTATCTTCAAGATTGCTTGTCTAAAAATACAGCAGCCTTAGGATAGTAGTGCTACTGATAGTCAAAATTCATTAAAATTTTTTGTTGATTCAATATTGTAATTTTGTCCCTCCTTTTCAAGAGTGCCTGCCTGTCTGCCTGCCCTCCTTTCTCCTTCCACCAAAAGTAAATGCTTCACTTAAATACAGCACAGTAGTCAGTCAGCGTTGAGAGCGAAGTAGCCAGGCATGGTAGTGCACACCATCTTAGCACTTGGGAGACTGAGGCAGGAAGATCACTTTTGAGTTCGAGGCCAGCCTGGAATACATAGTTCAAAATCAGCCTAAACTACATAGAAAGATGCTATCTCAAAAAACAAAACAACAACAACAACAAAAAACTCCACACACACACACACACACACACACACACACACACACGCACACACAGAAACAAAAACCAAAAACAACATTGAAAGCAAAGTAAAATACAGAAAAACAAAAAACAAAGGCCACACTCTCCGTGTTTCTGTGTATATTTTATTTGTGTTTACTGTAATGTGCCTTGTGAGAAAAGGCTGTAATTTTTAAAAAATAAAATATGTATAATACTTTTTCTTGTGGGTGTGGTGGTACATGCATGTAGTAACAGCACTTTGACAGGCTGAGGAAGTAGAATTACCATGAATTTGAGGCTTGCCTGGGTTGTATAAGGACATTCAAAGCGAGCTTGTACTACAGTGAGACCCTGTCTCAAAAAAATTTTTTTTTCTTGGTAACTTTTTTTTGACTTAGGTGGTTTGTGAAGATTGACACTTAGGAGTAGTGGATAAAGTTCTTAACTTAGTTTTTACCTTGTTTTGTTGTCTTTTGCAGGTGGTGTTTGACCGTTTAAAAGGCATGGCCTTGGTTCTTTACAATGAGATTGAATATGCACAAGCAGCTGTAAAAGAGACTAAGGGGAGAAAAATTGGTGGCAATAAAATTAAGGTGCGCAAAATGAATGACTTTAAAAAGAAGCTCAACAAAATTGAATTCAAATCTCAACCCACAAATAACTGGCATCTGTAGATTGATGGCAAGTGGGTGGTTTACAGGACATGGTTTATATATGGCGTCAGTTTAGGGGGGAAATCAAGATTGTAACGCTCAGCATAACAAACTTGTAGGCATAGGTCTTGTTAGCTAGGAACCACAGATCCTTCCCTAAAAATTATGCTGCCTCCATGGGGATCATGGGTGCACGCTCATTGCAAGCCCACTCACAGTTGTGACAAGTGTGTCTATGCCCAGAAGTGCCAGCTATCACTCAGTCAGCTCCTGCAGGCTCTTGCTTTCCTCCTCTTCTCTCCTAGAGTGGGGAACTACTGCAGGCATATTACTTCGATCTGTTATTACTTGTTTGAAAATTTTATATTTATGGTTGTTTGAAGGAACTGTAATCTTAATCACTGATGAGATGGTATAGTAGAAGTGTTGCTGATAGTTATCATATGCTGAATGAAGTTGAAAGTTCTTCCATATTATGTTGCAGCTGTTGTTCCAGTAAATGTATTCAGCTTCTTGTTCTTATTTTTTAATTTTTTTGGATTTTTAAGATAGGGCCTATGTAGTTTAGACTGTCGTTAAATTCAGTATGTAGTCTAGGTTGGCCTTGAACTCACAAGGATTCTCCTGCCTCAGCCTCCTGAGTGCTAGAATTACAGGCATGCCCCACCATGCCTGGCCTCACCAGCAAATTTATGTACATCAGAGGTTTTGGTGGATTTAATTGCTCTGATTATTTAATTGCCAACCTAGGTTCCTAATAGTGATTTGTTTTGAGTTTTCCATTTTACTTTTTCTACTTCTGGAACCTTAATTACATTTGTCAAGACTTGCATAAAGTTGGTTAGATGTTGTGGACACTAGCATTCATTGGGCTAAGGCAGGAGAGTTGCTACAAGTTCAAGACCAGCCTGGACTACACAGAGAGTTCGAAACCAGCCTTAAAACTATATGGTGAGGCCTTGTCTTGGGAGTGGGGGTAGATTTCTATGAAATTAGAGAGATCTTAGATTAACAAAATGTAATTTCAGTCTATGGAAACTACTTCACTTGAGACAGATTAGGCATTCCTGAAATTTTTTTTTGAATTATGAAGAATTTTCAAATTGGAAAATGTTTTCCATGATTAAAATCTGAAATTTGTATCAAACTTGTATTTTTTTTGAAGGTGGATTTTGCAAATCGGGACAGTCAGCTGGCATTTTATCATTGCATGGAGAAATCTGGTCAAGATGTCAGAGACTTTTATGAAATGTTACTAGAAAGAAGGTATGTATCTTAAACCTAAGAGTATGGCTTGAATTTTAACATGCAGTGCAGAGATGTTAGATGGGTTAAATTTTATTTTTCGGGGCTGGGGATTTAGCTCAGCGGCATAAGCACGCCTGCCTTGCAAGCCGGCAGTCGTGAGTTCGATCCCCGGTACCAATAAAAAGCAAAAAGACAAAAAAAAAAACCCTTTGTTTTATTTTTCACTCCTTGACTTATATTCCCGTCTCCTAAAAGACCTTTTTCAGTCTGTCATGTAGAAACACAGGGTTATTTTTGTGAATCCAATTTTCATGTGGCTCATGGGACACTGGGATACCCTATCTAAATTTCTTAGTACTTTTACGATTCCTAATTTATTTACTTTTGTTTTGGCTTTTTGAGAACAGTTTTGTGTAGTTCAGGATAGCTCTGAGCTTACTGTGTATCTCAGGCTGGCCTTGAACATGTGGCAATACTCCTGCCTCAGCCTCCCAAGTACTGGGATTGCAGCTGTACACCAGCATGCCCAGCTGCTTCTGCAGTTTTAAAGAGTTACTGTTTTAGGGGCTGGGGATTTAGCTCAGTGGCATAAGCATCTGCCTTGCAAGCAGGCGGTCGTGAGTTCAGTCCCCGGTACCGATAAAAATGAAAAAGACAAAAAAAAAAAGAGTTACTGTTTTGCCATGTTGTAACTTTATGTGCCATTAATTATAAGTACATATCACCCCATCCTAGTTTTAATAAAATATAGTAGGGTGTATTACACATAAGGCACTATTAGTGCCTTATGTAATTAATAATGAAAACATCAAGTTTTTACCACACAGGCTCATACTTTTACTAAAAAAAAAAAAAGTAAAAAAATTTAAAAAAAAAATTTTTTTTTAAATCTGTACCGGGGATCGAACTCATGATCACGTGCTTATGCTGCTGAGCTAAATCCCCAGCCCTTAAAAGTAAAAACTTATAAAAGAATAGTAAGATCTTGGCTGGGGTATGGCTCAGCCGCATAAGCGCCTGCCTGGCAAATATAAGGTCCTGAGTTTGATTTCCTGTACACCCCCCCCCCCCAAAAAAAAAGACTAGTAAGAGGATTATTTGTTTTGATTCTCTGAAGTGACTCAGCCAGAGCATATAGGAATTTATGACTTTGGCAATATGAAAGGTAAGCCTGGTTTTCCAGTGGGAATGTTTTTAATCCTGGTAATATTGTATTTGATAGTTATTCTGCTGATTAGACAGTATATTAAAACATCCTAACACCTGGATATGGTGGTGCACACCTTTATTTCCAGCACTCTGGGAGGCTGAGGCAGCAGAATTGCGTATTTTTAGCTCAGCTTGGACAACTTTGAGACCCTATCTCAAAATTAAAAACTACCTGGTATGTAGCTTGGTTTGAAGGCTCTGAGTTCAATCTCCAGTAGGGAGGCAGTGTGTGTGTGTGTGTGTCTGTGAAAATGGAAACTTTTGTCCATGTGGTGAAGCCTTTGCACAGACGTGCCTCTGCTGTTAAATCTCTGGTCCTGCACAGATGTGTTAGACAGGTGGCTTTGTGTGAAAAATGCCTTTCCGTCTTCTCAGTGGAGAAGAAAGAGGCTCTGTGGCAAAGAAGAACCCTGTCCTGCTCGTGCTACCACAAGTCTGTTGAAAGCATTTCTGTTACCTCTTCATTCTAGTTTATTTTTTTGTGGAAATCACACAAAGTATCTCTTTTGAGTTATTTCCTAGTAGAATGTGGTGCAGTAGTCACTGAACACAGAATGTTTTATGTTAAAAATGATGTCCACGGGGGCTGGAGGTTTAGCTCAGCGGCATAAGCTCCTGCCTTGCAAGCAGGCAGTCGTGAGTTCGATCCCCGGTACCGATAAAAAGGAAAAACACCAAAAAAAAAAAAAAAAAAATGTCCACTACCAGATTCCTAAAAGGATGATAGTTTCTTTCTAGTAGATAGAAATCCAAATCATTAAAAAATGAAAACCAGCAGTCCTCTGGCTGCAGACAGTCTCAGTGGACTGTGCTGTTTTCTTAATTGTGTCATGCGTGAGTGTGCACAGGCCAGAGGATGTGTGTCTCAGTAAGGGGAGAGCACGTGCTCATTCGCTGGCTAAGTGGTGGCATGCAGTCACTGTGAGTACATGAGGTGCTTAAAGGCGGTCTTACAGGGATTCCAGTCATACGGGGGTGGCAGGTGTGTTGCAGGCCTACTTGCATCTAAGATACTAAAAGGTCCAGTAAAGGCCTATGTGTATGTTAAATGTTTTTGTTTTGTTTTTTAAATGTTTTTTTAAAAAGCAATATCTTATGAGAGGTGGGTAATGTGGTGTGTGTGTTTATTTTTATATATTATTACTCAAAACTCATTTTTGGCCAGTCACTTATCTTAGTGATGGTTTGGCTTCGGTTCTGGCTTTTTGGCTCTTGCCAATGGTTATTTATCCCTGTCTGGTGATGTGTATTTCTTGGGAGTGGTGGGGTGTGTGTGACTTCTGGGACCTGGATTTGCCCTATGTGGTTTCAGACAGTAGTTCCTGTGGAATGCATTCTTTGCAGTAGAACTTAAGGATTCTTCTATTTTCCATGGAGTGAAGTCATCCTTGTGAATAGTTGATGCATGAATAGAAAAAACTTTTTTCCATTTTTCTAAACAGTTCACTTATTTCCCAAGCTTTTTTGTTTTTATTTTTTTCTTTTAGAGACAGGGCCTTGCTATGTAGGCTATCCTTGAGCTCTCTGTATTGCTCAGTGAGCCTCTTGCCTCAGTCTCAAGCACTGGGATTGTGGATGTCTGCCACCGTGCTGAGTGCCATGTTATAAGAATATCTTTCTAGGGGCTGGGGATGTAGCTCAGTGGCATAAACTCCTGCCTTGCAAGCAGGCAGTCATGAGTTCGATCTCTGGTACCTATAAAAACAAAAAAGACAAAAAAAAATATATCTTTCTATCCTCCCTTCCCCCGTTCTCTGTACTGGGGATTAAACTTGGAGCCTTTTACATTCTAAGAAATCATTGTCCTTGACCTGTATCCCCAACCCTTTTTTAAATTTTGAGAAAGGTTCTCACCAACTTTCATTAACTGTCCTACAACTTACGATTCTCCTGCCCTGACATCCTAAGTAGCTATTATAGGTGTGTGGCACCATGCTGGCCAGAACATCCTTGGTTAAAAATGTAATTGTGGTGAGACATAGTGGCATACACTGTAATCCCAGTGCTCAGGAGGCTAAGACAAAAGGATCACTGCAAGTTTTCCAGGCCAGCCTGGGCTATAGAGCAAAACCCTTCTCAAAACAAAACAGTAATTGCAAAAGACTTAGAATTGTGGGGTGTGCTGCTGGTGTGGTGGTGAACGGCTGTAATCCTAGCACTCGACCGACTGAAGCAGGAGGATTACCATGAGTTCAAGGCCGGCCTGAACTACATACTGAGACCCTGCCCCCCCTCCCCCCCCCTGCCCAAAAGTCAATAATAACAGTGAAAAACTTCTTTAAAAAAAAAAAGTAGGGACCAGGGATTTACCTCAGTGGCCTAAGTGCCTGCCTGGCAAGTACAAGGTTGTGAGTTTGATCCCCAGTACCAAAAAAAAAGTACATTTTGATAGTGCTTAATAACAGATAGTGCCTGCTATGTTGTGACTCTTGAGTTAAAAAAATTGAATCATTGCTGTCCATTAGGAAATAATGTACATTATGTACA